CACACACACACACACACACACACACACACACACACACACACACACACCCCTATAAAAATGATACTGGTGCTCTTTCTCAGCCCCCATGGGTGGTTCCATTGCATTAGCCTAACCAAGGGATGCTCACTTCACTGAAGCAAATTCATTACTTTTGGTTGGCCTTGATAGTCTCAGTTTTTCAACCTCTCACTCTGGGCAATCCTTCTTTCCACACTATAATCTGTCAAGTCCTCCTACTCTTTTTCACAGCGGTGCTTGAATATAACAGGGTTCTGATAGCTACTTCTTGTGCTTATTATATAGTATTTATTATTCCAAAATACCTCCACTCAGTCTAGATGCTAGTCCTAGTGCCACAAATTTTGGAAAGTTAGAATCATAGAATATCAGGGTTGGAAGGGACCTCAAGAGATCATCTAGTCCAACCCCCTGCTCAAAGCAGGACTAATCCCCAACTAAATCATCCCAGCCAGGGCTTTGTCAAGCCTGACTTTAAAAACCTCTAAGGAAGGAGATTCCACCACCCACCTAGGTAACCCATTCCAGTGCTTCACCACCCTCCTAGTGAAAAAGTTTTTCCTAATATCCAACCTAAACCTCCCCAACTGCAACTTAAGACCATTACTCCTTGTTCTGTCATCTGCTACCACTGATAATCTAGATCCATCCTCTTTCGAACCCCCTTTCAGGAAGTTGAAAGCAGCTATCAAATCCCCCCCTCATTCTTCTCTTCTGCAGATTAAATAATCCCAGTTCCCTCAGCCTCTCCTCAAAAGTCATGTGCTCCAGCCCCCTAATCATTTTTGTTGCCCTCCATTGGATTCTTTCCAATTTTTCCACATCCTTCTTGTAGTGTGGGGCCCAAAACTGGACACAGTACTCCAGATGAGTCCTCACCAATGCCGAATAGAGGGGAATGATCACGTCCCTTGGTAGCGGCAGCCAGGAGCCCTGGGCCCTTTTAAATCTACCGGGCGGGCCGCAGGGCTCCTAGGCACACACAACCGCTCCAGGCCCCGCGCTTTGGGGGGGTCTCGTGGCCAGTGCGGTCAGTCCCAGAAGTATCGGTGTCCTGGAAGTGACAAATTGTGCTCAAGTCAAGAGAACTGTATAATCTCTAACACGGGATACTAAAACAACAGGCACATGAAATTACAAGTCTGGTAGCAAAGATTTTTAATAGACCTATAAAATCAAGGGTAATACCATATGATTGGAGAACAACAAATGTAGTACCTATATTTAAGAAAAGGAAAAAAGTGATCCAGGCAACTACAGACCTGAGTAGTATGCCAAGCTTCAGAACAAATTTTGAAGAAAAGAAAAATAAGATATGGAGGTAAAGGGAAAAAAAAAAATCGAATAAAATGCAACATTAGTTTACCAAAGGTAGATTGTGCCAGACTTACCTGATTTCTTTCTTTGATAAAATAATTGATTTTTTAGACAAGGGAAATGGATTAGATCTAATCTATCAAGACTTCAGCAAAGCATTTGACATGGCACCACACAACAAATTATTAGTTACGGTAGAGAAGATGGGGATTAGTTCAAGAATTGTAAGGTGTGTAAGAAACTGGCTAAAGGGAACATCACAACAGATTGTGCTAAAAAGAGAACTACTGGGCTGGAGGGAAGTTACTAATGCAGTTCCTCAAGGATCAGTCTTGGGACTGATCTTATTAATATTTTCATTAAATGACCTTGGCACAAAAAGTAGGTGTGTGCTAATGAAATTTGCTGTTGACACAAAGTTGGGAGACATCATCAAGATAGAGGAGGATTGGAATACTATTCAGGAAGAACTGGATGATCTTGGGACTGAAGTAATAGAAATGGAATGAAATGTAATAGCACAAAGTGCAAGGTCATGCACTTAGGGACTAATAAAGTGTTACTCACCCTGTGCAGTAACTTAGTTCTTCAAGATGGGTCCCCCTGTGAGTGCTCCACTTCAGTCGCACAAGTACCACACAGGCCTTTGATTAGAGATTTTCCATTAGCAATATCAGTTTGGCCTCTGCATGCACTGCTGATAGCCTTGAGTCTGACACCAAGGCTAATACAGGCTGCGCAGGCACACTGCCCTTTACCACCACTGAATCTCAGGGCAAGGAGGATGAAAGTGGAGCACCCATAGGGACACATATCTCGAAGAACTACAATTATTGCACAAGGAGCTCTCTTTTCATTGAGTAGCATCCCAATGGTTATCTCATTTCAGGTCATCCCCAAGCAGCAACCCCACAAGGAGGAGAGAGCTTCAGAATTGAGTCCAGAATGGAGGAAAGAAATGCACTGTCACATCAGATCTAGAGGCATCGGACCAAGGCATAATGCCTGGAAAAGATATGTTCCGAGGACCATGTAGCAGTTCTGCAGATTTCAGATACTGGGACACTTTTCAGTAGAGCCATAGACCTGGTAGAGTGAGATGACACACCAGAAGGCGGTGGAATGCTGGCAACACTGTAAACAAGCAATAATCAAATACCCAGAAACTCATTTCATTAGTCTTTGAATAAAAGACACTTGAAGGAACCTGAGATGTTGTCATAAAGAAACTTTGTCCCTGTAGAATATTGTGAAAGAAGGGTCTGACCTTAAGGCCCCCCAATTTCTCTGACTCTGCAGGCTGATGTAATAGCCACTAAGAAGGCTATTGTCACAGACAAATTCAGTAAGGAGCAAGTTGCCATCAGCTCAAAAGGAGATTTCATGAGATTTTTAAGAACCAAATTAAGGTTTCAGACTGGGGCAGGAAGTTTCACTTGTGGGAACAGATTTCCCAGACCTTTCATGAACCTTACAGTTGTAATGTGAACAAACCACTACAGAATTGTGGTATGAAAATCTGTTAAGGTGGCCAAATAAACATTAAGAGCACTGACAGTCCTGTTTTCTTTAGTTGCAGCAGGTAATCCAGGACAAGTGGAAGAGAGGCAGATTCAGGAACAGCTTTCTGGAGTTTGCATCAGTGAAGAAATCTCCATTTTTGAAAGTAAGTATTACTGGTAGAATCTTTCCCACTTTTTAGAAATATCTGCTGTATTTCTGAAGAACAGACTGACTAACTCCACAAACAATCAAGGAGCCATGTCTTGAGGTAAAGCATGCTCAGATTGGGGTGCAGCAGTTGACTGGCATCTTGGGAGAGGACCTGAGGAGTGACTGGAAGATTTATCACTGGACAATGAGCTAGGTTGAACAGGTAAGGAAATCATGCCTCCCTCAACCATGTTGGGGCTAGTAGGATAACTCTGGCCTTTTCCTCTCTGAGTTTGTTCACTTTTCAGAGAATCAGAGGCATCAGGGGAAACACATAAAACAGATTCTTCATATGAGTGAGGAGGAAGGGATCCCACAAGGAACGGAAACCTGACCCCTCCCCCACCTCAGACAGACGCGATGGCATTTTGTGTGTGTAGCTGTGGCAAAGAGGTCCACTTCTGGAAATCCCCAAGTTTGAAATATGCCAGCAAGAATCTGGGAGTCCAACTTCCATTTGTAATCTGGGAAAAAATACTGAGAGAGTGTCAGCTCTGACATTTTACCTACCCAGAAGACACATTGCCAAAATTCGTATGCAATGTTTTATACACCAGTTCCATAACCTTATTGCATTGGTGCAGTGGAAGGGGATCTTGCTCCTCCCTGATGATATATATAAAACTGGCAGGCTACATTGTCTGTCATGACTCTGACAGACCAGTGTCTGATGAGAGGCAGAAAATGAAGGCAGGCACTTCTGACTGCTCTGAGCTCCAACAAGTTGATGTGGAGTGTGGTTTCTTGGGGTAACCATCTGCCCTTTACCATTAGGGTGTCAAGATGTGCTCCCCATCCTAACAGAGATGGATCTGTAGTTACGGTTACCATTGGTATCAGTTGGAGGAAAAGAACTCCCATCCCTACATTGCGATGAATCTTCCACTAGTCTAGAGAGTGTTTCGCCTGTTGAGACACTGACACCTCTTTGTCGAGGCTGTGACTGTTTGGCAAGCAAACTGATCTGAGCCATCCCTGGAAACAGTGAAGGTGTCATCTAGCATGTTCTATTACAAATGTGCAAGCTGCCATATGACCTACAAGTTGAAGACAGTTTCTGACTGAACTCTGGGGGCTCCCTTGAATAGTTCTGACAAGGCTGATAGTGTCATGAATCTGTCCATGGGAAGAAAGGCTCTGGATGCCAAGAAATCCAGGGATGCCCCTATAAATTGTATGTTCTGTATGGGAATCAGTGTGGATTTTCCCACATTCAACTGAAGACTCAAGTCTAAGAACAGAGAAAGTACTTTCTGTTGGGTAGTCAACACCTCCTGCTATGACCAACCCTTAGCCAGCCTGTCATTGAGGTACAGGAATACTACAATTACCTGATGACTAGGGCCCTACCCACAATGCATTTTGATCAATTTCACAGTCATAGGATTTAAAAAAAAAATTCATGATTTCAGAGATTTAAATCTGAAATTTCAGTGTTGTAACTGTAGGGGTCCTGACCCAAAAGGGGGTAGTGGGGGTGTCCCAAGGTTATTGATGGGGGTTCATGGTATTGCCACCCTTACTTCTGCACTGCTGTTGGCGGTGGCGCTGCCTTCCGAGCTGGGTGGCCGGAAAGTGGTAGCTGCTGGCTGGGACCCCAGCTCGGAAGGCAGCACCACCACGAACAGCCACGCAGAAGTAAGGATTGCATGATATGCATTGCTATCCTTACGTCTGTGCTGCTGCCTGCAGAGCTGGGCCTTTGGCAAGCAGCCACCACTCTCTGGCCACCCAGCTCTGAAGGCAGTGCAGAAGTAAGGGTAGCAATACCATGACCCCCCTACAACAACCCTGCAACCCGCCATAGCCCCCTTTGGGTTGGGACCCCCAGTTTGAGAAATGCAGGTCTCCCCTGTGAAATGTGTATATTATAGGGTAAAAGTACACAAGAGATAAGATTTCACAGTGGAGACCACATTTCACAGTCCGTGACATACTTTTCACGGCTATGAATTTGGTAGGGCCCTACTGATGACATAGGTAGGCAGCTACTACTGACAAAACCTTTGAAAACACTCTTGGAGCTGAGGAGAGACCAAACAGGAGTATCTGGTACCAAAAATGATCCTGGGCTATGATAAATTGCAGGAAGCTTCTGTGGGATGTGTGTATTGCTATGTGGAAATATGTGTCTTGAAGGTCAAGGGCCGAAAACTAATCCCCTGAATTTAGAGAAGGAATTATAGCTGTTAGAGTCACCATCCTGAACTTTTGAGACATCAGAGATTTGTTCAGGAGTCTTAAATCTAAGATTAGTCTCCACTCTCCTTTTTTTTTTTTTTTGGCAAAAGGAAGTATCTCAAGTAGAGGCCTCTTCCCTTGTGCTGAGTGGGGACCAGCCGTATTGCTCCTAGATGAAAAAATAAATGTATTTCCTATCTTAGTAAGAACTCATGAGAGGGGTCCCTGAAGAGGGATGGAAAGAGAGATTAGAAGGAGGGAGGGAGGGAAGGAAAATGGATGGTGTAGCACACATCTATCTGAGGTGGTATGTTCCTATGCTTGTCAGAAATGGAAAAGTTAGTCTCCAAATGTGGAGAAGTGGGCAAATGTTGCAGCTGACAGGCTAAAGAGAGCGGAGGGTCTGAATCCTCAACTATCCCATCAAAACTGGTGCTTCGAAGATGAAGCCTGCTGCGAATGTGTGTCGGGTGGGCTGGAGAATCTTTTTCTCTGGAACCTATGTCTTTCTTGAAGGTTCAATCAGTCTCTGAAAAGCAGAGAATTACATTGGCTCAAAGCTCCCATCCATTTGCGATCTACTGAATTTTCTTTTGTTCCTAGGAATGTAAAGGGCTAACGAACGTAATGTGGACCTGGAGTCTTTAAGGGTATGCAATGATTCATCAATATTCTCTGTGAACAACATCAGTCCATCAAACGGGAGATCCTCTACCATATTCTAGACTTCTCTGGAGAAACTAGGCAACTAGATGCTGGATGCCCTGTGCATTACCTGCTATAGTGATAGAACAGGCTGCAGTGTCTGTGGTGCCTGAACCACCTAAGAGATGTTCTGGCCAGTAACTGCCCATCAGCAATGTAAGCCTGATATTGCTCCCTTTGGTCTGAAGTTGGTCCAGCACCCAACTACTCCACTGAAGTCAATGGAAACTGCTGGGCAGTCAGTTCTTTTGAAAATCAAGCCAGGTGCCTGGCTTTTGGCATCCATTTTTTAAAATCTGGGCCTAAATATTTGTTTCTATTACTCAACTGAGCAGATATGAGTGAATTTTACCTAATTCATATTCAGAGTAGATTTGCACTCTGCATAGGTCCATCATGGCCAAAAATGTATCTATGTAAAAAAAAAATAAAAAAAAAATGATGAAGTATCGGATGAGGGGGATAATGGGCTACCAGGAGCATCCAGCCCTCTACAGAGGAATAAGACCCACCCTTGCTGTGACATCTGCGAGGCAGTCCCCTAGGGACTTCTCAGCGGAACAACATTAGGGAATGCAAAGGAGGCAGCTTAGTTGTTAAATAGAGAAGCTGCTCAGCAGTTATGGGGCACGCTGAAGCAGCACTAGAACAACCCACTGGTAATGGTAGGAGTGGGGACACATGAACAAACAGCACCACTCTCAAATCCTGCATTACTGATTGACAGGACAGATGCCAATACCACACTCCCTTCCCTAGATTCTCTCTCATGGTCTCTCACCAGAGAGGGGTAGACGAGAAAAGGAAAGACAAGTATTCCTCCCCATCCCCACCTCCCAAAAATGACTCCGCTGCCTGGGACTGGGCGCAAGAAAGCTAGTGAAGGGGATAGGGAGAGTGAAGAGCCTTTGGAGACTGACCACTAGACCCTTCAAGTCTTTCCAACGCTCCGAATTTTTTTTTAAGAAAGCATATATAAATATTAGCTATTCTGTTTAATTAGATAATGCGAGGATAGTAATTATAGTAGTAACTCCCCTGCTGCCAGCATAGCACTAACAGAACAGAACTCTGGCTGCTGTCATAACTGGCTCACACAACGAATAAGAAATTAAGTACAGAATACAAACCACAGGCAGTCCTCAACACAATTGGTTCCTGAAAATTACATCATAAGTCGAATCATCATATCTTGGAACCGCAATCCACTCCATTGCAGGACTGAGCATCGTAATGTCGAAACCAATTGTCATAAGTCAAATCAGGGTGTCAATTCAGAAATGTTGTAAGTGCCGTTCATAAGTCGAACGTTGTAAAGTCGAGGGCTGCCTGTATTATCATGGTCTTCATGTGATAACAGACACAGCATTCAAAGTAGCCATGCTTTCTTGTAAATACTGATTTTTCTTTGTTTATTTTTTAAATACTAGGGTAAAGATGCTTCAAGTAAGTCTTGCTTGCTTACATTAACAGCCTGATTTTTGCCTTCAAGGTATGCTACAGTAAAGTAAAGCACCAAAGTGATATCAAATTCCACTTCATCTTCAGGTGAAAGTGAATGGGATGATGGTGGTGGTAACATATAACCCAGCAAAACCCTCCAATTATTCACTTATGGACAGGTCTAGTACTAGCTGACATATCTATGAAAGTAAGAGACATTGAGGCATTTTTTCATTAATGACAGATGATTTAAGTTACAGACCTGGATCTTTCAGTTTTATTTCCATTTCATCTAAAGAAGTGACCTCCTCTTCTTCAGGGGCATGAATAACCATCACCGTTGACCCCAAAATGCTCAATATGCAGCCCAATTTCCCATGAACATTCAGCTTTTCATTTAAAAAATAGGAAGACAATATTGCACTGTGGATGAAAAAAAAGTAACAGGTTCAGCTGCACAAATTATTTTATAATATAGTAATAATTCTTTTATGTATAGTGATACTAATAAAAAAAAGTTTTGAATTGGGGATAAAGAAACCAGCTGAGAGTAAATAAATACCAGCCAAATCATCAACCTTTTCCCAAAACTTTTTTTAATTCTAAAAAGGTCAGATAAATCTTGCCCCATTTTCTATGGCTTTCCAACAGGCCTTGACTCTTCCCTCCACATCCTTCCCCATAAACTACAATGTCAGGCAGAGCTCTAGTTTTTCCAGTCATTTTTCCTTTTGGTTACCTATGAATTACCAGAGGCCTGGTCTACATTACGAGTTTAGGTCGACTTTAGCCGCGTTAAATCGAATTAAGCCTGGACACGTTCACACGACGAAGCCCTTTCTTTCGACTTAAAGGGCCCTTTAAACCGGTTTCTTTACTCCACCTCCGACGAGGGGATTAGCGATAAAATCGGCCTTAGGGGGTCGGAATTGGGGTAGTGTGGACGGAATTCGACGTTATTGGCCTCCGGGAGCTATCCCACAGTGCTTCATTGTGACCGCTCTGGACAGCACTCTCAACTCAGATGCACTGGCCAGGTAGACAGGAAAAGCCCCGCGAACGTTTGAATTTCATTTCCTGTTTGCTCAGCATGGAGAGCACAGGTGACCACGCAGAGCTCATCAGCACAGGTAACCGTGATGGAGTCCCAGGATCGCAAAAGAGCTCCAGCATGGACAGAACGGGAGGTACGGGATCTGCTCGCCATATGGGGAGATGAATCAGTGCTGGCTGAACTCCGAAGCAGTAAACGAAATGGCAAAATATTAGAAAAGGTCTCCAAGGCCATGAAGGACAGAGGCCATAACAGGGACGCACAGCAGTGCCGCGTGAAAATTAAGGAGCTAAGGCAAGCCTACCACAAAGCCAGAGAAGCAAACGGAAGGTCCGGGGCTGAGCCGCAAACATGCCGCTTCTACGCGGAGCTGCATGCCATTCTAGGGGGTGCAGCCACCACTACCCCAACCGTGTGCTATGACTCCCTCACTGGAGAAACACACAGGGAAGAGGGTTCGGAAGAGGAGGATGGAGAAAATGTAGAAAGCTCACAGCCGCAAGGAAGCGGAGAAACCGGTTTCCCCAACAGCCAGGATATGTTTGTCACCCTGGACCTGGAACCAGTAACCCCCGAACTCAACGAAGACCCTGAGGGCACACAGGGGACCTCTGGTGAGTGTACCTTTGTAAATATTACACATGGTTTAAAAGCGTGTTTAACGATTAATGATTAATTTGCCCTGGCAATCGCGGCCAGTACAGCTACTGGAAAAGTCTGTTAACGTGTATGGGGATGGAGCGGAAATCCTCCAGGGACATCTCCAGAAAGCTCTCCTTCATGTACTCCCAAAGCCTTTGCAAAAGGTTTCTGGGGAGGGCTGCCTTATCCCGTCCGCCATGGTAGGACACTTTACCACGCCAGGCCAGTAGCACGTAGTCTGGAATCATTGCATAACAAAGCATGGCAGCGTATGGTCCCGGTGTTTGCTGGCATGCAGACAACATCCATTCCTTATCGCTCTTTGTTATCCTCAGGAGAGTGATATCATTCACGGTCACCTGGTTGAAATGGGGCAATTTTATTAAGGGGACATTCAGAGGTGCCCGTTCCTGCTCTGCTGAACAGAAATATTCCCCGCTGTTAGCCACGCGGTGGGGGGGAGGGGTGAAGTGATCATCCCAGAGAATTGGGTGTGGGGGGGGAGGGGAGTTAGTTGGGTTTGTGCTGCATGTTAACCCTGAAACCGCAGCCCCTCCTTTTACATTGCAAACCCATTTTAAATGGCCAACCCAATGGGTGCTTGGTATGGGAAATGAGAGCACTACTGTTTGAAACCATTCCCACATGTTAAGAAGGTTAAAAAAGCCAAAACACTGTGTCTTACCATGGCTGCCTGCAAGCTGAAATCTGTGACCTGGCACTGCGTGAGTGATCTCTCACACCAAACCGGCAGGCCCTCAATATAAGAGGAAAAATGCGACCTTGTAACGAAAGCACATGTGCTGTGTAATGTGAACAGCAAAATTTAACGTGAAAGAGTGTACCCATTGTTCTCTAAAATGTGTCTTTTTTAACCACCTCTCCCTTCTCCTCCACCAGCTGCAAATGTTTCTCCTTCACAGAGGCTAGTGAAGATTAGAAAAAGAAAGCGTAGGACGCGTGATGACATGTTTACAGAACTACAGATGTCCTCCCACGCTGACAGAGCACAGCAGAATGCGTGGAGGCAGTCAATGACTGATTACAGAAAAGCACAATATGAACAAGAGGAGAGGTGGCGTGCTCAATCGCGGGATGAACAGAGCAAGTTGCGGGCTGAAGATGATAGGTGGCGTCAGCTTGCACACAGAAGGCAAGAGTCGATGCTCTGGCTGCTGGAGCATCAAACTGATATGCTCCAGCATATGGTTGAGCTGCAGGAAAGGCAGCAGGAGCAGAGACCGCCGCTACAGCCCCTGTGTAACCAACAGCCCTCCTCCCCAAGTTCCATAGCCTCCGGCCACCCAGTCACTCCACCCCAGATGATTGCCCTAGCATCAGAAGGCTGGCCTTCAATAAGAGTTAAAGTTTTAAACTGCAGTGTGTCCTTTTCCTTCCCTCCTTCCCCACCCATCCCGGGCTACCTTTGCAATTATCCCCCTAGTTGTGTGATGAATTAATAAAGAATGCATGAATGTGAAGTAACAATGACTTTATTGTCTCTTCAAGTGGTGCTCGAAGGGGGGAGGGTAGGGGAGGGTGGGGTGGTTGGTTTACAGGGAAGTAGAGTTAACCGGGTTGGGGGGGGGGGCGGAGGGTTCATCAAGGAGAAACAAACAGAAGTTTCACACCGTAGCCTGGCCAGTCACAAAACTCGTTTTCAAAGCTTCTCTGATGCGCACCGCACCCTGCTGTGCTCCTCTAACCGCCCTGGTGTCTGGCTGCGCGTAATCAGCGGCCAGGCGATTTGCCTCAACCTCCCACCCCGCCATAAATGTCTCCCCCTTACTCTAACAGAGATTGTGGAGCGCACAGCAAGCAGCAATAACAATGGGGATATTCTTTTCGCTAAGGTCTGAGCGAGTCAGTAAGCTGCGCCAGCGTGCTTTTAAACGTCCAAATGCACATTCCACCACCATTCGGCACTTGCTCAGCCTGTAGTTGAACAGGTCCTGACTTCTGTCCAGGCTGCCTCTGTACGGCTTCATGAGCCATGGCATTAAGGGGTAGGCTGGGTCCCCAAGGATCACGATAGGCATTTCAACATCCCCAACGGTTATTTTCTGGTCCAGGAAGAAAGTCCCTTCCTCCAGCTTTCGAAACAGAGCAGAGTGCCTGAAGACGCGAGCATCATGTACCCTTCCCGGCCAGCCCACGTTGATGTTGGTGAAACGTCCCTTGTGATCCACCAGGGCTTGCAGCAGCATTGAAAAGTACCCCTTGCGGTTTATGTACTCGGTGGCTTGGTGCTCTGGTGCCAAGATAGGGATATGGGTTCCGTCTATGGCCCCACCACAGTTTGGGAATCCCATTGCAGCAAAGCCATCCACTATGGCCTGCACGTTTCCCAGAGTCACTACCCTTGATATCACCAAGTCTTTCATTGCCCTGGCAACTTGGATCACAGCAGCCCCCATAGTAGATTTGCCCACTCCAAATTGATTCCCAACTGACCGGTAGCTGTCTGGCGTTGCAAGCTTCCACAGGGCTATCGCCACTCACTTCTCAACTGTGAGGGCTGCTCTCATCCTGGTATTCTGGCGCTTCAGGGCAGGGGAAAGCAAGTCACAAAGTTCCATGAAAGTGCCCTTACGCATGCGAAAGTTTCGCAGCCACTGGGAATCGTCCCACACCTGCAGCACGATGCGGTCCCACCAGTCTGTGCTTGTTTCCCGGGCCCCAAATCGGCGTTCCACGGCATGAACCTGCCCCAGGAACACCATGATTTCCACATTGCTGGGGCCTGTGCCTTGTGAGAGGTCTATGTCCATGTCAATTTCCTCATCACTCTTGTGGCCGCACTGCAATCGCCTCCTCGGCTGGTCCTGGTTTTGCTTTGGCATGTCCTGGTTCTGCATATACTCCAGGACAATGCGCGTGGTGTTCATAGTGCTCATAATTGCCGCGGTGATCTGAGCGGGCTCCATGATCGCAGTGCTAGCTATGGCGTCTGGTCTGAAAAAAGGCGCGAAACTAGTATCTGACGGACCAGGGGAAGGAGGGAGGGAGGGAAGGGCGAGTGACGACATGGCGTACAGGTACAGGGAATTAAAATCAACAAAGGTGGCTGTGCATCAGGGAGAAACACAAAGAACTGTCACACAGAATGGCCCCCTCCAAAGATTGAACTCAAAAGCCTGGGTTTAGCAGGCCGTTGATTTGACGGAGGGAGGGGGAAGCAAATGAATACAGAACAAATCTATTTTTTACATCTTAAGACGACGGTGCAGCATGACTGATAGCCCTCGGCATCTTCTGGGTGCTTGGCAGCAAATACTGGGCGCTTGGCAGTTATGATGACGATGGCCTTCAGGCCTATTGCACGATCTGCTGCTCAGGGAAGACTCTGCTAATGTGCAATGATCCAACAGGGCGCTTGGCAGAAAATTGCATACTACGACTGATAGCCATCATCGTCATTGTGAAGGCAGCAGAATATGACTGGGGGGATGGGGGACATACGGAGTTGCAGCCACTGCTGTACGACGATGATGGTTACCAGTCATAATAAACCATCTACTGCCAAAAGGCAAGGGCTGGTGCAATGCAGCCCTACAGCTGCCAGCCCCACGGCTGCCAGCACCCAGATCGCCGATGAAGGCTACCAGTCATGCTGCACCGTCTACCGCCAAAAGGCAGTTAGCTGCTGCTGCTGTGTAGCAATGCAGTCCCACGTCTGCCGGCACCCAGATGACATATGGTGACGGTGAGCTGAGCTGAGCGGGCT